AGACAAGATGTTGTCGGACCTGCCGCACTTTTGGATGGAGAGTTTATGCAAAAACAAGTTAATGTCAAGGCTGTAAGTTTTATTTCGCAGCAGTCAAGGCTTCGGCGGCTGGGCTGTGCAGTTTAGGGTTTAGAGATTAGGAGCAAGCCCATGGTCATAATATCAGTACTAGCCTGTCCTAGTAGTAGTCGTTGTCGTAGTTTGTAATCATCATGATCGTCACAACCATAAGCCCTAAAAAGAAACAGTCATAAGCGTCATAATCAACCTGAGCTTCGGGCGCAGGGCACTTTCAGAAACAAGTGCCTCGACCAAAACCCCGCAACCCTTTGAAACCCGGAACCCTATGAACCCGAAAACCTATAAACCCCCAAACCTTATACACCCCAAACCCTATGACCCTAGGAACCCTAAGCCCCAAACCCTACAAGCCCTTTACCGATAAACCCCAAACTCCATAATTAGGCCCCTAAGCCCCATGAACCCCAGAAGCCCTTCATAGGGTGAAGCCCCAATCCCTAACCCTCAGAAATCCCCACAATCCCTGCACCCTAAGCCCTAAACCCGCAAACCCAAAAGCCCTACACTCTAAGCCTTAATCCCTAAAGACAAACCCCAACGGCTAATCCCTAAGCCGTAATCCCTAACCCTCAGAGACCCCCAAAATGCCTGAACTGTGAGCCCGACCCCATAAACCATGAACCCTATAAACCCCTGAACCCTAATCCCCAACCCTCAACCAGTGCCTCGAGGTGTCCAGTATGAGGATCCGCTGCGCTCGGTTGCAGACGAAGAGTACCTCGGATCTCAGAAGCGTAAGCTTTTGGTTTAGGGTTTAGGATTTAAGGCTTAAGGTTTAGGGTTCAGGGTCTAGGGTTTAAGGTATAGGGCTTAAGGTTTAGGGTTTAAGATTTAAGGTTTAGGGTTTAAGGTCTAGGGCTTAGGGTTTTCAGGTTTAGGGGCTCGCATTCCTGGATTTCCCCTAAGGGTTCCTATAATGATCCATAGTGGCTCGACAAGGGTTCGATGCGGGCTCCGTTGGTACACTAAGGCTCTAAGGACACATTCCCTAAACCCTAAACCCTAAACCCTAAACCCCAAAACCCTAAACCCTTTTTTTTGTTTACGAATTTCGGGCCTAAAGGCCGTCCAGGGCTAGAGCTTCGGGGCTTGTTTGAGCGGAGGCGTCAGCTTCTGGGTTCAGGGTTTACGGGTTTACGGGTTTAGGGGTTTAGGGTTTCAGGGTTTATCAGGGTTTAGGGACGTTTAGGGGTGTTTGTCTGCGATTGGAGGGTGCCCCATTCGGGGCTCGGATCTCTGCAACCCCACGGCTTCGGAACACATCTTCGATAATTTGTGGAGCTTTGGTTGGTTGGTTGGTTGAGGGCTTAGGGTTTAGGGTTTAGGGTTTAGGGTTCCACTGGGTTCCACTATTCGGCAGCAGACTGAAAGACCGTACTTAGGGTTTGACGGGTCTGTCATGGCTCTGCCAGGGGTCAGAATGCAGGCTAGGGCGTGGGCACCAGCCCACGGTTCTGAAGTCTGTCGCAGAAGGGGCTTGCAAGGTTTAGGGTTTAGGGTTTAGGGTCTAGGGGCTTTATGAAGTCTCTGACACTCCCTTTGTGGTTCTTCGCTTGCAGAGTCTCTGCAAGGCGGTTCTCTGGTGTGTTATTATAGGTCTGAACTATGACCAGAAGGAGGCTCCAGGCGAAAATTACGTAATCTAGGGCCTTAAGAATTAGAATAGGGTCTTGTGGTATATTATGCTATCACTATAAGAAGGAGCCCCCCAAAATAATATAGGACATTTTCTAAGGCTTCTACATTTATCTCCAGAAGATCCGATCTTCCCATCCCCTCCTCCCCCTCCTCCTCCTCAGGCAGTGGAATAGAGGAGCCATGATAATAAGACTAGGCTCAGAGTAGGTTTCCCAGGGCTTAGGGTTTAGATTCTATAACGGTTTCCCTAAATGAGGGGTTGATATCGACTGATGATCGTTGACGAGCAGCATCGCGAACTGGCGAATGCTTCATCCATCGCTGCGCGCCGAAGCCGCCACTGGGGGCATGGGATTCAGGAAGTAGAGTATACGTGGGAGGTATCGGGGTCATACATTATTATGGGCTGAGGTGGTAAGAAGGCTCCACCCTGATCCCTGGGTCCCTGACCCCGATTCCTCTAGTGCAGTTATAACTTGATACATTGTAGCTTTTGTTGTTCGCTTCTCATCTGTTGCTCAGGTATTGTTTGGGATTTAAGGTTCAGGATTCCTTGGTTTCGGGATTGATAGAGCTCCTAAACCCTAGGGTTTAGGGTTTAGGGTTTAGGGTTTAGCCCTTAATCGTATTACTTGTACCCAGAGCCAGAAGGCTCTCGTGGGGAACCTCGGGCCCTTTTTAATGCGCATCCGAAAGGGCTGACCGAAACCCTAATAGAGGGGCCTAAACAAAGAGTAGGGTTTGGGGGTCCTTTAAAGGGCTCCTTTAAGGGATACTAGGGTTTGGGGGTCCTTTAAAGGGCTCCTTTAAGGGATACTAGGGTTTTGGGGTCCTTTACAGTAGAGTGATACTAGGAACCTATATCTGGTATGAACCCGAAATGAAATTCTCTTTCGGGTCCGCAGGAGGGATTCTGTCAAAGTGCCGCATGTCATGACGGGTCGGGAGGGAGGAGACTTTTCTATGAGGTTAATGTAGGGGCCTTAACAATTAGAGTAGGGTCTTGGGGTCCATTATACCAGAATTAATTATAGTAACTTGGTAAGGAGCCCGCAAAATAGTATTGGCAATTATTTCGGCACCTATAGTAGTGTTAAAGACGCATTGAACCACACTTAAACGGGACGGCCTTCAAATCGCAAGGTTCCGAACACAAGGCACACAAGCAACCAACAATACAACCGCTGTTACGCTACAGCATCTCATGAAGCCACTGACCCGACGTGCAAAATCCCAAAGCCCTTCAAAGATTGACCAACAACTTTCTAAACCCTAAACCAGGTATCCCTTAAAGGAACCCTTTAAAGGAACCCCAATACCCTATTCTAATCATTAAGGCCCCTATATTAGGGTTGTATTTCCAGTTCCTAAAGCCGTTGCTACTGTGCCCTGAATGCTGGGCTGCGCACCCGGCGTTTGTCCAAGAATCCTTCCTGCAGGGCTCAGGGCGGTTTAGGGTTCAGGGTTTAGGGTTTAGGGTTGACATAAACATTCTGCATGATTCCGACGCCTGCTGCCATACACATACTATGTGTTGTCTGGGATACTCCGGGTTTGTGAGATGGGGATCGGCAGATATCATGGTGATTTTGCGGTCCTTGCCAACCGAGACTGGTTAAACAGCTAAACCTCCGCTAGCTTTGTGCAAAACAATCACCCTAAACCCTAAACCCTAAACCCTAAATCACAGCCTCAAGTCATGTCGGGCCCTCGTACCCATACTGAGGTGAGATATCCAACCATCGGCAATCGTTTGGGCTACAGAACCCGATGTGCCACGACGTTAAGCCCTAAACCTTACCCCCCTACAAGTAAACCCTGAAAGCCATACCCCCTAGACCCCCTAGACCCCAAACCCCCAAACCCCTAAACCCGGACAAGTTTAGGCAAGAGTCTCGGAATCGTAGACTCGCACCCCACCCAGCGACACGGCATGAGACAACGCCTCGGGACATGTTCAAAGCAAGCGAATCAGATGGTAAAACCCTAAACTGATCCGATATAGATATATGTAAGTCTAAATATGCGTATACACATGAACATGTGTGTATATATATATATACACATGGGTTTATGTATATACCTATATAGATTATATATGTCTGTCTGTCTGTCTGTCTGTCTGTCTGTCTGTCTGTCTGTCTGTCTGTCTGTCTACCTGTCTGTCTGTCTGTCTGTCTGTCTGTCTGTCTGTATGTATGTACGTATAAGTATAATTACATAAATAAATAAATAAATAGATAAAAAAATATATATATATATCAAAATATCATGTTCGTAGATATTTCTGTGTATACTATCTATATGCCGGATCGGCCCGCTCATGACACTGAACACCGTCTCACGCTTCGAGTCCGAGTGTTTCTGCAGCATTTCAATGACTTCTACGTGCATTGTCATCTGCTTAAAGGTCCTTTGGCAGCGCGTGCAGGCTTTGTAATGTAGGAGCCTTAATAATTACCTATACTATTTCAGGGGGTTCCTTATTATAGTTATAGTACAAGGGGCCCAAAACCCCATTCTAATTATTAAGGCCCCTATATTCCATCCGACGCCCGAGGCTTCAATGTCGCCACCAAATGAACCATCCTCAGGCCCAAAGTCACGGTAGGCTTCAAGGGCTAAGGAATGTTAAGGGTTTAGGGTGTCAGTCAGCTTGACCCGCTGTGTAACTGCATAAATAACTGAACACATGGGTAGTTGTGAAAATTATGGTCCCTTTTAGGATAGCCTAAATAATAGGTGCCGTATTATAATAAGGACACAAAAAGGGACCATAATTTTGACAACCACCCACATCTGCTGAAGGTTTGTGGACAGTTCATGGCCTGCGGGTCCTGAAACTTCTTTCCACCCACGGCCCGGAACGATGAGTCGGGAGGGTCTCTCCTGGCAATCCAACCGCAGCCCGCCAAAGAGTCGGGAGCGTCTGTCTCGTGCATGGCTGGGAACAAGACGGTTGCCTGCCCAACAGGAAAGGAAATCGGAAACGGCAAATTTAATTTCCTGGACCCTCCTTCCAAGCCCCAATTACCGAGGCCATACATACCCAAATTTGACGGTACAAGAAGGGTCCTGGTTCGCAGACTCTAAACTTTACCCAAACAATTTATCCACAAGAGTAGAGGACTTCGAAGGATGCCTCAAAACTGTCACCGCTTCTGGGTGTCAGGAGGGTGGTAGAAAATCCGTCAGAGAGAGTTGGCTCTGAGACAGTGCTCCACTCGCCCCTCCAGCAAGAAACATCAAGATAGGCGACTTGTTGTAAGCCGGTTGATTGCTCAGGCAAGGTCTGGGGCTGGGGTGTCAACGGCCGCAGACTTCCGGAGACCAAAGCAACGCTCGAAGTCCAAGATCTTGGACCGCGGTGCCTCGGATCCCTCGGATGAATAGAACTCGGAAAACGCATGTGCGAAGTCGTTGATGTTCTCGCGGCCTGTCTTCTGCAGGCGGCTTGGGGGCGAGCCGGTGATCCAAAGGTAGACGGCCTCGGGCCAAGAGAGGTTCAGAGCCCTCTTGGCCAGCCAAGGGTTCAGAGGGCCCAGGCCGGACACGAAGGCGAAGACGGACATCGCAAGTAGCGCCGCCACGAATTGGCCTCCGATGTAGAGCCCAACGACATCCTTGCCACACTGGAAGACCGCCATTGGACCCAGCACCCGAGCTGGGTTCAGCGCTGCGCCGGTGTACTGGCCACCAGAGCCCGCACACGCCAGCAGCGCGAGGCCCACGGCGAAGGGCGTGTGGCTGCCATGCCCCGGCTTGGCCACACCGCAGGCGTAGACGCAGGAGATGAGGGTGAAAGTCATCACCTTGTTTAATATAGAGAACGTATCATGTACTCGTTTATCCGACATCCCTTACTGCTATACTGTAACTGAACCTAAGTGCATCAATCAATGAGAACCCAGTCACACACTCCCAGCCGAAGACCTGTTCATCGGTGATGCCCTCGCCGATCGTGCCACGGTCAAAGCATCCGGGGCCGCTGGCACCCGTGCCGATGAGGTCGCCTGCACCGGGCACCAGTCCGGCCGAGACCCATGCTCCGACAATGGCTCCGATGATTTGGAGAGCAATGTAGATCACCTGGGTCAGTGTAACACCGCCGTTGAAACCCGCAAAAACAGTCATTTTTCGATGAAAATCAAGACAACAAACCGAAAACCTGATCCTGCTGGCACAGGGACTGTGTGAATCACCGGGTAGAAGCCACAAACGGCAGTGCTGAAGCTCACCGCGGGGTTCAGGTGACCACCACTGATGTTAGCAGCAACATAGATCCACACGGCCAAGGCAAAGCCGTTCACAAAGGGAGCATATTCTTTGGCAGAGGTCCCTCCAATAATCTGGAAGAACATCACACCCACGAACTCCACGGCCAAGGAAACGGCAAACTGGCGGGAGAACACGGACTTGTAGTTCGCGAAGACACTTTCCTTATCTACGGTGTCACCTCCAGCGCCCATGGTGACTGTGGTACCGCAGTCGGAGTCTTCTATGGCCTTCTGCTACGCTGTGCTTGAGTCGCCTTGCAGCCATTGCAACCAATAACAGAGCGATGCATGAAGGAGCTGCGACCCTGGTGCAGTGTCCTCCCTATCGCGGACAACACCCGAACCTGAACCCTCCGTGGGACTTCAGCCTTCGGCACAGTAAAGTAAGTTAGGGTTCACGCAGCCTTGGTAAACCCTAAGGGTCCATGTACCCAAATAGTAGAACATTGGCCTTAATGTAGTCCCTATATAGGTACTTTGGGGCCAATGTTCTACTATTTGGGCACATGGACCCCTAGGGAAAGCTGGGGCAGCAGCTGGGCGCACGCCTACGCCGGGGCCGGCCGTCAAGCGTTGGTCCTGTCACGGCACCGATCCCTCTTTTCAGAACTGCCGGAAGTCTGAAACGTTTAGGATCTGGCCTACTTATACCCAGATCCTGAAGGCCGAATTTTGAAAAACCCTGGACCCGAAAATCCTAAACCCTGAAACCCCTAAAAAGGCCCTCAAAGCTCTCGCCTAAAGAGAGCAGGGCTTCCTGACCCAGGATCTCATGGTCGATCCTAGATCGAAACAGGGGCCACTTTGGGAAGTCGCGGACGTCCCAAATACCTAAACCCTAAAGTTTAGGGCCTAAACATTATAGAAATCTGGACAACCTTCATAAACAAAGCCCTTATAAGCGGAGGTGGCCGAGAGGCAGGTCCTCTCCGTTGAAGAGTGCCGTCCAGAGCTGTGCGTTGTAGCTGGTGAAGAGAACAGGCACCTACCGACAGGGCTTATGCGATGTTGTAGGGTCTAATATAGGGGCCTTAATAATTAGATATGGTTTTGGGGTATAATATACTATACTTATTATAATAAGGAGCCCTCAGAATAGTATTAGTAATTATTTAAGCCCCTTTCTCAAGCAGGAATGTCGGGTTTCCGTGGCTTTTTAAGGCTTTGGGGTTTGCAGATTTCAGGGCCTCCCCCATGAAACCCCAAGCCCTAAAGCCCGAAAAAGTTTGCATGATACATGGGTTTCGGGGTTTAGGGGTTTAGGTATTAGGGTGTAGGGTTACAGGTTTAGGGGTTTAGGGTTTAGTATTTAGGGGTTTAGGGGGAAACCTCAAGCTGCAACCCATGAGGCACAACAGGAACCCTGAGCTTCAGAATCCCTCCATGCATCCCGGACCCCCGGTATCGAATGGAAGCCCTAAGCCCAAACCCTAAACCCTAAACCCTAAACCCCTAAACCCTAAACCCTAAACCCTAAACCCTAAACCCTAAACCCTACCCCTACTACAACCCACAACCCTCCGCCGAACCAAGGAAGCCCCGAAGCCCCCCAAGCCCCGAGGAATTAACTCTCCATGCGGGAAGGCGGCCAGATCTGCGAGGGATTCCCCTTCTGAGAGGTAGACCTGCCCAGGTCAGGGGATCTTAGGATTTTTCTGTTCAGCATCTGTTTCCGTCTGACCTCCGACTTACGGAAGGCCGGCTGCCCAGATTTAGGATTTGGGGTTTGTAGGATCCTACAACTCCACGCTCTAAGCCCTAAACCCCGAAACCCCTAAACCCCTACACCCTAAACCCCTAAATACTAAACCCTAAACCCTTAAACCCTAAACCCCTAGACCCCTGAACCCTTTAACCCTAAACCCCTAAACCCCTAAACCCTAATCCCTAAACCCCTAAACCCCAAAACCCCCTAAACCCCTAAACCCCTAAACCCTATATCCCTAAACCCTAAACCCAAAACCCTTAAACCCTAAACCCTAAATCCCTAAACCCTAAACCCAAAACCCTGAGGGTTTTCGGTTCGGGGCTTTCTGGGGTTCCAGGGCCCAAGCTTTTTGGGGGACGCAGGTCTCCGGGTCCTGGGTACCCCTTACTAGATGAGTACCTTAATTGGGGGCTTAGGGTTTAGGGATTAGGGTTTGGGGTTTAGGGATTGGGGTTTAGAATGAAGTGCGAATATAATGATCCTAAGAATCAAACAACCCTAGCTGTTGGGTTTATAAGAAGCAACATCTCAAGACATGGTTTCGTTTGTCTCAGGATCCAGGTCTTTGCGGCACCGCGGAAAGGAAGGCACGAACCCTGACAAATGTCATAGGGAGCAGCTGAGCTTCACGCGATATCAGCCAGACCATGGTTTAGGGTTTAGGATTTGTTTGTATCACCTCTTTTCCTTCGCCTGATAAGGAGTCCGGATTACCATGTTGGTGGAGGCATGATGATTGGAGCCCAGGATCTACCAGGGTTTAGGATTTAGGGCTTAGGGTCGTAATACATGAGCACCATCACTTAGACGAAGGTTTCTGTTCACATAGGCTGGAAAACTAAGGAAGACTTTTATCATTATTCATCAGAACCCCCTAAGGCACAAACACAAGGTCGAAAATCACAATTTCGAACCCCATCGAAGCCTCGCACTCTCAAACAGCACAAACATCGGTAGGCGTCAGTCTATCTGTATACCAGAGTAAAGTAGTATATATGATGTATACATACATACATACATACATACATACATACATACATACATACATACATACATACACACATACATCCAACCATTCATCCATCCATCCATCCATCCATCCATGCATGCATGCATGCATGCATGCATGCATGCATGCATGCATGCATGTATGCATACATACATACATACATACATAAATGTGTATATGTGCATGGATCTGTATGTATCTATGTCTGTGTCTGCGCTTGTCTGTCCGCATCTCTGTCATTGTGTGGGTATGTTTGTGTGTCTGTGCATGCATTATGTATGTATGCATGCATGCATGCATGCATGCCGGCTTGCATGATGCATGCATGCACGAAAGCATGGCATGTGTGTGCGTGTGTGCGTATGTGCATATTTCGGTACGCATATATGTATGTGCGTGTAATGTATGTGTATATGTGCATATGTACATGCAAAATGCACATGCGAAAGGCTGCGTGCACGTGTGTCTACTATACTATCTTATGCTATACTATTCTATTCTATTCTACTCTACATACTGTATTATGTTGAATTGCACTAACTTATAGGACATTCTATTCTGTTCTATTCTATTTATGTTGTCCTCTATCTTGTCACATATACACATACTATATTTATGTGCTCTGAGATCTGGTGACAGAGCTGGACAGATGGACGGTATCCAGTAGGTGGGTAGACAGCTTTTGTCATATACATTAAATATCTAAAGCTGCGTACTGTACAGTAAGGCCTGCATGCCTAGCTCCAATGGGTCCCGATATCACATCTTCTGACCTCAACTTCTAAATAGTGTGACCATGTATGTTCCTGACTAGTTGTACTGGCGCTCATAATATCTCCTACTCTCTCTCTCTCTATATATATATATACATACATATATATATATATAGGTACATACGCACATGTCTGTAAATCCATATGTGTATATACACACATACTGCTATATATACATATATACATATATACATATATATATATATATATATTCTATTTGCGCTATGTTGCTCTTGCTGTGCATCTTCCCATCCAGCCAGGCCTGGCCCTGCTTGTCCGGCACCGGCAGCCCCGAATCTGGAGCATCCCCGGGAGCCTGCTAAGGCTGAGGGTTTGGGGTTTAGGGGCTTAGGATTTAGGGGTTTAGGGGTTTAGGGGTTTAGGGTTTAGGGGTTTCGGATTTCGAGGTGTAGGGGTTTAGGATTTCGGGGTTTAGGGTTTAGGGGTTGAGGATTTCGAAATTTAGGGGTTTGAATTGAGGGCGTAGGGCCCAAACTTAATATTCCTCAAGGTAGTTCTCTACACTAGGGTCACCAAAATTGCACGGCACCCATATGAAAGAAACACAAAAAAGACCCTAACTCAGCCTCAGGATTCCACATAGTCAACAACACTATATCCTAGTGCTCCCTATGATAACTACAGTATAATGAGCCCCAAGCCCTCTCCTAATTCATTACCGAGGCCCCCATCTTACCCTAAACAAATGCCTCGTCACTAGCACATGGGGTAAAGGGCTTACCTGGACCCTCAACAACCTACCTTTTCAAGGCCTTTTGGAAGGAAATCATAAGAAGGAGCCCTAAAAAGTTAGGTTCTTTAGGGTCCAGGTAGTCCTAAACCCAAAACCCAAAACCCGCGGCAGACAGGACGAGTTAACCGCACCAGGGCGGCTTCAAAAATAACCTGCCCCTGACAATAATGATTTTTCGTTTAGGGTTTAGGGTTCAGGGTTTAGGGTTCAGGGTTTCGGGTTCAGGGTTTAAGCCCACTATTTTGGGTCTATGCTTTGCAACTCCAGAAGCCCTACACCCTAAACCCCCCGCCTCCATTATGAGAACCCCAGCCGCTCCACCGACCACGCAGAACCTGACAGTCGTTTCTGCGAGACCTTACTTACTGAACCCTACTTGACATGCTAAGAGGGCTTCACACGGGTTTAGTGGGGTAGGGATCGTCGGTAGGTGCAGGTAGGTACCGTCAGAGGTACCTCAACTTGATTGACATCTGTTTGAATGTACATCAACTGATTGGAAAAAAACAGAAAAACCTCACTGCAACGCCCAAACTCGCGGAACCCCAGCACGAAGCTGATGGCAGTTCGCTTTTCAATCTGCAGAAACATCCTGCACCCACTACTTTGGTGCTGATGAACCACTGAAGCCACAAACCTTACACGCGCCGTACCCTGAAGATTACAAGCCTCCTACGCATTCTCAATACTTCTGAGGGCCATACTTCACCTTTGCGGAAATTGAGCAACCACCAGTCTGCACGACGCCTTGGGACCACTCGGAGGATCTGGGGACTTCGCACAGAATTACGTTGAGATTTGAGTAAAAGGATATAGCATGATATAGCTAAGTTGATTATGTGTAGGCTCTAGACTCTAGCTATCACCCCTAGACACTGCCAATCCTCCAAGCTTGAGACAGACGCTGCGGGTTGTCTGGAAACAGAAACTGACATAATGTGGAGGCCTGAATTGGAGAGGGTTGGTAATAACTACCCCAATTCCAATTCCTACAATAATTCCTCTGCTTGCCAAGTCCCTTGAACCTCTTAAATAGGTATGGCAGCAGCCAGTGCGCGCCCCAGGCTGAGTTTCAGACACCACTTGTCGGCCACATTGCCGTCGTTAGGTTCTGGGGGCAAGACCTGCATGCTGCAAGCCAAAGAACCAAGATACGAGGCCGAGGGACATCGAAACCTTTGTGACCTAAACATGGCAGCAAAGCAGTAGCAGTGAACAAAGCTTGAAATACATCTGCAGTAGCGACGGATGGTCCAACTGGACCGCATGAGAGTTGAGGATCATGCAGGTTCGGGTTTGTTTCTTTTCCCTGTCTCTCTCTCTCTCCCACTGTCTCCCCCTCCCTCGTTCTCTTGTGGAAAGAAACTGCAAGCTTATCGATTGAGCCTCTGCCTTCCGAAGTCACAGGACACTTCAGCAAGACACACATCCGACCGCAACTTTCACCGGCCTTGCAAACGATGTGTGCTTCTGGCTGTCTTGACCAGCGATGCTTGCTTTTGGCTGCTGTGAAACAGATGCCAGGTAGGTGAAACGAACGCACGAAAACGATCAACCCTGCAATATTCAGCTGCAGGCGGTGTCTATATTTCGACGCAACATGCTATGGATGCTACGGCCCAGGGGACATGCAGCAGGGATCACCGTGGACGCCTCCACATCGAAGGCGTGTGTCTGAAATCGACAAGACTCCAATCGCTCTGCAAAATCCGATACTGTTCCTACTGTCGCTGCCATTAACCCTAAACCCTAAACCGCAAAACCCTAAACCCCTAAACCCTGAACCCCTAAACCCCTAACCGTACATCAAGGCGCCTTCCAGTTGTCCCGGATCTTCTGCAGTGAGGGACCCTTGGCTGAGGTCGCCTGTAGGACTCAGGACTTCGGCTTAGGGTTTAGGGCTTTTGGAGGGGTTTAGGGGTTCAGAGTTTGGGGGTTTAGGGTTTAGGGTTTTTGGAGGGGTTTAAGGGTTCAGAGTTTGGGGGTTTAGGGTTTCGGGCTTTAGGGGGTTTAGGGTTGAGGGCAGGGCATAGCTTCCTAAAGCAGCAGCGTGAGCTCAAGCTGGAACTAAATCCTCGCCCAACATCCGGAACCCTAAACTCTAAAACCTGAATCCTAGAACAAAGGCTTAGGAAGACCTCGCACCCTGTACCTGACCTGACATGCTCATCCATGACTTCTCGCAAATGGTTGTCGCGGGGACTCAGGCTTATGGCTTAGGGCTTAAGGGTCTGTGGTTCAACCATACCTTGGGGCTCGAAGTTGCAGCATCTAAGGTTCATACGTAAAATATCGCCGAAACCTCCGGCCCGAAACACGAAAGCCTTCAGCCCACGCGCAGGTGTCTCGGTGGGAGCCTCAAACCACGGGCAGCCTTGCACGCTCTCACCCTCACCTGGCAGTGGGGCTTGTAAGGTTTAGGGTTTAGCCATTGTTCACCAGGGTTCTGTATGGGGCCTTCGTCAGGGTCCCACACTTAGAGTGGTGGGCTCTGTCGGGGTCAGCTGGTGTCTTGCTAGTGCATGGGTTTCGTTGCGTTTGGTCAACTAGCTTTGTATCTGCGGCTTAGCGACTCAATGGGCTTCGCCTAAGAGCTTCGGGCGTTTTGGGCGGCGATCTACGGATGGCTTGGGGTCGTCGCTCATCCTCTCTGAAAATGCACCAGGTGTGAAACCTGAGTTCGAATGCATCGATCCGCGTTGCTTGCTTCTATCTAGCCCTCGAAGAAAGCTTCTAAAGCGGACGTTGTGTGGTCTCCTGAATATGCATGTTAGTGGGTAGCGTTCATGCATGCATATTGCGAGCATGCTTATACTCGATGCATTACGAGCATGCGGGTTCAGACTGAAAGAAACAGCATCGAGGTTCTGTTTGCTTCAACAAGCTTTCGCAGCTTGCCCAACGCATCTCACAACATCAAACAAGTGGACAGCTGCTTCGTGTATCCGAAACCTTCGAGTGCTATTGAAACCGTTATGGCGGCTTCATCTACGTGCTTAGATATTATGGTTGTCTTACCTGCTTACTCCTCGTGCAGATGGCTGTCATCAAGAGGTTCAAGGTGAAGGGTCAGGCCACAAACCCCCACCAACACCCATAAGCCATCCTAAGCCCTGAACACCTCACACACGCCAAGCCCACAGTCATAAAGCCCCACAAGTTCAGCCCTCAACTCAAGCTCAAAAACAACAACGAAGCACTAAACCCCAAAGAAACCCTAAACCCATAATCGTTAATTGGAAACTCCTATAAACCCTAAAACCCCAAAGAAACCCTAAACCCTATAATGCAAAGCTGCGCCTTGTTGCTGCGCCTTGCGAGAATCGACCAGAACGGCGGGCTTGGTCAGGTCCGCGCCTTGGTTTCTGAGGTTTACCGGGCTTCTGCTGCAGGTTTTATAGGGTTTAGGGTTTTATAGGCTTCTATGTTTTGTTTTGTGATGGGTTGTAGGCTTCTAGAGGGCTTCATAGGGTTCCTATTATGCTGCATAAGGGCATTCAGAAGATCTAGCAGGCTATGACCCCGACGACTTACCATCTCTTCCGATGGAAGATTCGAGAAGTCTAGAACACCATGGTAGGGTCAAAGACTCTGTCAGGGTTCGACTATGCAAACGACAGTCTTGGACTAGGACTTCAAGTTTAAGGGTTTAGGGTTTA